GCGCTCTTCCGGGTGCTGAGGATGTGGTGGTGAGCTCCCTGGGAAGCACAGCGTTTCCCATACGAGCTCGTGTGGCAGCGGGGCCGTGACAGGGGAGGACACGGCATCTGCCTTGTGTTGATCCGGTTACGTCGGAGATCCTGGAAACGTGTGTGTAAATCAGAACTTTAGATTTTGAGAATGATGTACCCAGTGCAGCATGTTATTTCAAGGGATCCCAGGATGAGTTTGTCTTTTTCTCACTCAGAAACCGAATCCTTTGACTATAACCCAGTAAAGTTACAAATTATTAATAAAACGATAGCCAGAAAAAAAGAGAAAGAGCCAGAAGCCTCTCCATACATTTGGAAATCAATAACGAGCTTTTGCATGGTTTATCAGTTAAAGATTGTCACGATAAAAAATTAGGAAATGTTTAGGCTGAGTGACAGTAAAAGCATTGCATGTCAAAACATGTGGAATGCAGCAAAATCGGTAGTTAGAGGAAAATTTATAGCTTCATTAGAAAATAAGATGATAAATCAATGAGCTGTGTGTCTTAGTTTCCTAGGGTGCCATAGCAAATTGTCAAAAAATGGACAGCTTAAAACAGATATTTACAGTTCTGGAAGCCAGAAGCCCCAAATCAATGCTTTGGCAGGGGTGGTTGCTTCTGGGGGCTCTGACGGGGAGCGGGGTCTGCCCCAGCCCTCCCCAGCTTCTGGGGGCTTCCCTTGACTGGCAGATGCATCACCAGACTGCCCCTGTGTTCGTCCCTGTGTGTCTGTGTCCACACTTCCTCTTTTTATAAGGACACCCATCGTTGGATTAGGGCCACTCTAATCCAGGATGACCTTGTCTTCAGGTTGTATCTGTGAAGAGTTATTTCCAAATAAAGCCACTCTCTGAGGTTCTGGGTGCACATGAATTTTTGAGGGACCCTTTTCAACCCACTGCCCAGGTGCCACCTGAGAAGCCAGGAATAGAAGAAGAAAGCAAGACAGAAACGAGGAAAAATTATAAGGGTAAGAGCAGAAGTTAATGAAGCAGAAATTGAAGAAATAGCAGAGAGACAATAAAATCAGAGTGTGACTCTGAAGAGATGGATGAAACAAACACTGGAGAGGGCTGCCACGTCATGAAGAGACACACAAACTGTAATTTGCCACAGGTTGGGGAGGAGGGGGGCAAGGGGTGAGCTCAGAACTGCCCACGTGCCCTGGTTCAGTTCTTCTTATCTGGGTGGACTCAGGAGGCATCTTCTCCAGGAAGCCCTCCTGGACCATCTAAGGATGGTCTAAGAGCCTGCCACTGCTGGTGCAGACCCTTGTACCTGGTCCTTCGGTGGTGCTCACCCGTTGTCTTGCTGTGACCACCATCTCTGTTCTGTTCGAGCTCTATCAGTAAAAACCTCCCTCATGAAAGAACTATGCCTTTTTCCCTGTTGCATTTTCTGTCTGAGGCCTGGTATACAGAAGGTGCTCAATAAACGATCGAAGCTGTGTGTTTCTCTTCTCGCCTTGCCGCTGGGTGGCTGGGTGCCCTGGGCGCGTCCCTTACCCTAGGAATCCCCTACGAGGGATGGGGCAGCCAGTGTCCTTGCCCAGCCAGACCAGGAGTGGGGAGCAGAGGGGAGGGATTCCACTGTCCCAGGCTCCCAGGCGTGTGTGCTGATGTGTGTGTGGGGTCAGCTCAGTTCTGGAAAGTCTCTCTAGACCCCCCACCGTGTTGTCTCTTCTCAGGCTGGAAGCCTGCATTTTACCCCTCGCGTAGGAAAACGTGGTCAGAAGGTGATGCAGCACGTCGTTCACGGCCCAGGAAGCTCTGGTCCCCGAGGGCAGGACGGGGACGGTCCTTGGAGCTGCCTTACGTGTTTTGGGGCAGATTCTGGCCGCGGAGCTTTCTGGAAACACTGTTCCCACACTCTTGTTATGAAGATTCCTTTGGCCTGGATCGCCTGTCCTGACCCCGTGCCCTCTACCATTTGCAGCCAAGACAGCTCAGCAGCGTGAAAACAGGAGACAGGAAGGGGGAGCTCTGAGAATTAGAGGTTTTCCTGGAATCTGCCGGGGTGGGAGAGGGATGCCGTCCAGAAATAACGGTCTGGCGTGGTTGAGGCAGAGCCTGGGGGCGGTCATCCCACTGTGCCCTGGGGGGCCCTGGCTCCCGGCCCCCCCGTGCCCTCTCAAAATCCCCTGAAGTGGCTTTGTGTTTTGAACCACCTGTATCCTGCCTCATTTGACCCTTTGCTGCCAGAGACGGAAAATCATCTCCGTGCCAGGACAGGGCTGCTTACTGGTCCAAGAAAACAAGGCCCGGGCCGCGGCTTTCTTGAAGACAAATGGCTTCTGGTGGCTGCACAGGGAGCCTGGGGTCCTCACCGTGGACCCTGGGTCAGCCACTGTCTGTAGGGTCTGTGGGCCGTTCCCAAGGCCAGGTCGCTCCGTTATCTCAAAGTCAGTGTGTCCAGAACCCAACTCAATGTCGGCCAGATCAAAACCAAACCAATACACAGAAAGTGGCAAGGGTGTTGGGGGATGGCACTGCTGCTGGGAGTGGCTGGTGGAGACCGCTGGGAGGTTCTTCACTGAGCGGAGCACGAGCACCCGTGGGACCCAGCATCCCTGCCCCAGGGGTATCCCCAAGAATTGAACACAGCACCGAGACGCAAACCTGCACCCTCACGTCCGTGGCAGCGCTACTCACAGCAGCCAAAGGATGGAGCCAGCCCATGTCCCCCAGCTCACTAATGGATCATCGAGATGTGACACAGCAGAGTATGATTCAGCCACGAAAAGGAGGGACGTGCTGACACCTACCACAACATGGGTGCTCCTTGAAGACAGTGTGCCGGGTGGGAGAAGTCTGACACGGGAGGCCATGTACCGTATGATTCTGTCCATGGCCATGTCCAGAATGGGCGGATCCACGGGGGCAGAAGGTAGGTTAGTGGGTGCTAGGCCCGGGTGGAGGGCATGGAGGGACTGCCAGTGGGGTACCCGGGTGTTTTGAGGTGATGAAACGTTTGGATCTAGCTTTTAGAGAGGTTTGCGTAACATTGTGAATGTACTAAATGCCACAGGCTTGCGCACTTTAAAATGGCTGATTGTTAATTTTATGTTGTGCGAATTTTACCTCAACAAGTCCCCTCGTTTGCTGAGACAAGTGCCTGTCTGCTCCCTTGCTTCTACGGGAAGCCTGGGGTCGTTTCCTCCCGACCTCACCTTCATCACTGCCCACGTCTCTGCCCCGGGTCACCATCACTTCTGAGCCTGGGCACTCCCACATGGCCTGACCTTCCGGACGTCCTTGGTGGCCCGGGGCCTCTGCTCGTTCCTCTCTCCTGGGCACTGGCAGAGCCCCGGTGTCACCATGAACAGTTTACACTGCAGTGCAGGGGCCTTTCCCACTCATGTCTCCCAAATCCCGCTTTAAGACCCCACTGACCCATTTTTGTGTATATTATTATTATTATTATTTTTTTTTTCTGGCCACACGGCTTGTGGCATCTTAGTTCCCCCGACCAGGGATGGAACCCGGGCCCTCGGCAGTGAGAGCACGGAGTCCTAATCACTGGACCACCAGGGAATTCCCTTACTGTTCTTATTTTTAATAATTTCTAAGAGCAAAGGCCCAGAGTCTCTCACTTGGGATGCAACTGACATTTCTATTGATAGTGAAAAATTCGTGGTCTACAAGAGCAGTCAGTGAAGTTTGTAATGATTTCCATAAAAGTGCGAGTCTTACTGACAGTCTCAACTTTGACTAGAATTAATGTACAATGTAAATAATACATTTCCGGCGCGTCACCCAGTAATTCACAAAGGGGGGGAAATAACCCAGTGACTCCTGGCTCCAGGGAGATGTTGGCGCTGGTCTCAGAAAGGATGAGATGACTGTTGTCACGGTAACAGAGGAGTGGCGAGGTGAGTACCTGGAAGGCAGTTCTGGAGCGATCGGTGGTTGCTGGTGTGTCCAGAGCTGACCCTCAGGGAAACCCCTCCTTCCCGCCCACGAGGCACCTGGGGCTGTTCCTCAGCCTTGGAAGCGTTGGGTGTTGGACGAAGACCCTGTATATGTTGGCGTGAGTCGGAGCTTCTCTCCGACTTTGGCTGTTCTGTAGGGTCGTGTGTAGGTGCAAGAGCTTGTAGAAAGGAACCAGCTGGTACCTCCTGCGACCATCCGGGGCCGTGTGCTGGGAAGCCCGGTCCCATCCAGGGACCAGCTGGTCGCCAGGTTGCTCTGGGGAAGTGGAGCTGGAGGGTCGGCTGTGGGAGACCCCGTCGCCCCATGTACCTTTGCACTTTTTGGAATTTGCGCCCTCTGTGTGTAAACAGAGTTTTTAAAAAGCAGTAATGAAAAGCGCGGGAAGAAAAGGAGAGGTTTGCTTCCCTGTTATGCGCCCACCTCCTGTTTCCTGCACGTTGGTGAGCAGAGCGGGGACACTTCCTGCCCTCGGGTGAACCGGTGGGGCTGGGGGGCCTCAGAGGCTCGCCGGGGCCTTGGACCCTGTGGGCTGAGCTGTGGGGTCTGGTAGCAACTTTGACACGTTGCTCAAAGTGTGAAGGAACAGAAAGCCTTCTGGAGCCAGGGCTCTGCGGACAGCAGGGCCGTGGGCTGGGAGGAGGTGGGCTTGGAGGTAGCCTTGAATCCAGGGAGGCGGGTCGGGCGGGCCCGGCTGGGACGCGCTGGGTCCCTGGCCTCCCTGGGACCCCGTGACCTCCCGGGACGGCCTCTGGGGTTCTGCCGAGATGGCCTCTCTTCTCACCCACTCTGCGTTGTCCCCCCTCCAGGAAGAAAACCGACAGATCCTGGCGCAGCAGAAGTCAGCCTCCCAGTCGGACTCGCACGATGAGGAATTGTTCCCGTCGCCGCCCAACCCAGCGGTGCAAGCCCGGCACCGGCGTGGGGGAGTGAGTGCCGAGGTGTACACAGAGGAGGATGCCGTGTCCTACGTGCGGAAGGTGGGCCTCGACCCCCGCCCCCCCCGCCCTGCATCCCAACCCGCATCCCAGGCGTCGGGGCCTTGGCCTCCCTTGTTCTTCCGGAAGGTCGGCGTGGTCCCTGCTGGCCTGAGCCCGGTGCGTACCTGCCTGAGGCTCTCTTGGGGACCCCCCACCCCCATGGTTCTGTGACCCCAGTAGGCAGGGGACAGGGCGGGACGGCCAGGTCGTGGGGTATGGGAGGAGGAGCCCCGTGTCTAGGGCCTCGTGGGTCCTATTCTCCTGGCTTCACCCTTGAGGCTGGACCCCAACCTCAGAGCCGCCCGGGGGTAGCCCGCCCCCGCCCTGGACATCACCCTCCCTCTCTCTCCGGCCCTCATGCTGAGCAGGGCGCACCTTTGTCAGGAGCCTCGCCGGTGTGAGAGCACTGGTGGCTGCGTGTGCCCCTGAGCCCTGCCTTGGACATGCCTGCCATTCCATCTTATGCATTTCTACAGCCAGCTTTACTCTTTAAAAAAATTTTTTTAATTTTTATTTTGAGTTTTTGACCTATTACCAAAATTTATTTTAAAATATGGCAAAATGTGCATAGTAGAATTGACCGTCTGTGTCAGCTCAAGCTGCTGTAACAAAAGGCTGGCGGCTTAAGCAACAGACATTTACCCTCTCACAGTCTCTAGGCTGGGAGCCCAAGGTCCAGGTGCCGGCAGGTGGGTTGCTGGTGAGAACTCTCTTCTCTTCCTGGCCCCCGGCGGCCGCCTTCTCGCCTGTTCTCACGTGGCGGGCGGGGTCGGGAGCGCAAGATCTCTAGGGTCTCGACTTACGAGGGTGCGGATCCTGTCTTGGGGGCCCACCTAACCGCAGTCACCTCCCGAGGCCCCATCACTAAACACCTTACCATGGGGGCTAGGGCTTCGACATGTGAATTTGGGGACAGTTGGGCCACAGCACCTCTTTAACTGTGTTTAGCATCCAGGTCACACTCTCACCATTGTGCCACGGTCACTGCCGTCATCTCCAGGATGTTTTCATCTTGCAAATCTGAACCTCTGTCCCCATGAAACAACCATGCCCAGCCCCTCCCTAGTGCTTAGTCCTTTTATAATCAGGGAATAAAACCAGTAAAAGTGCAGCTTAGAAGCCCACCAGGGCACTTCACTTCTGTGGCCTTCCTCCCAAAACCCTGGACCCCTGTCCAGCCCGGAGGAGATCCCCAGACAAACCCAGACGAAGGGACGTTCTGCAAAATCACTGCCGGTCCCCTTCTGAGAAACTGTCACAGACCAGAGGGGCTGAAGGGCCATGACGACTGCGTGTGGCCAGGGTGGGATCTGGGTAAAACCAAGGAAACAGGGCAGACATGTGGGTTTAGTTGCTAGGATGGCACCCAGCTGGTTCCCTAAGTGTGACGTGTCACCACAGTAACCCAGGGTGTTACAGGAGGGGAGAGGGTGCAGCGTGTAGGAAGAGACCTTCCTCTCAAGGCCTGCACGTCCGAGCTGTTACACAGTTGTTGGAGCTGAAGTGGCTTTTCAGGGGGCTCCCTCCTGCCCCTCAGGGATCCCTTTGTAAAGGGCTCCATGGTTTTAGAAGCGGCATACCCACATGCGGGGTCCCGACGTCACCACCCGCCCCCAGCCTGGAAGAGATTTCGGGGCAGCTGAGCACGAGGTGGGGGTCATGTCCCGGTGCAGACAGCCTCCCCTCGGTGTCTTTTGAGGGAGGAATCTTGGCGTGGGAAATGCCAGTGCTGGTCGTCAGCTGGGCGTTGATTCACTGGACACACCTCGAGCTTTCCAGGCTGGTCCCAGCGGGCGAGGGGATGACTTTTTACCCACATTTTGGCCAACAAGGTTCAGGCCCCTATTCAGCCCTTCCATCACCACCTGAAAGGGTGGAGCCAGCCTTGGGTCAAGGTATCTTTTTTTTTTCCAGTTTTCAAATATTTCAACAAGTATTTATTATCTACAAAAAAGCCAGTGGAGTAAAGAAATAAAGACAAAAGACATAATAATCCAAGGGCGTGGAGGCCTTGTAGCATCTTTTACAGGCTCTGAAGCCCACCGGCATCTGTCCACCAAGACCCCGAGTTCTGGACGATACGCCAGCTCTTGGGTCACGCTGGGCCCCTTGTCTCTTCTTTATTTTTCAGATTTCCAAAAATTGTGACATGCAGCTAGCATTTCAAGATTTCTGTCTACCCTCACTGGTAATAACACCTTGAAGGTTGAGCGGCCCGATTTCTCAGGGTCAAGGAGGGGCCCAAAGGGCTAGCTGGGTCCAGGCCCTGGTCCAGGGTGCCCACAGGTCTGACTCTCCTGGGCTTCCCCGCAGGTCATCCCCAAGGACTACAAGACCATGACGGCACTGGCCAAAGCCATCTCCAAGAACGTGCTCTTTGCTCACCTGGATGACAACGAGAGAAGGTAGGTGCGGGAATGGGGCTGGTGGGATGTCCAGCTCCAGGGGACACGGGTCAGTTTTGGAAGCACGGGCTCATGGGGCAGGGGTGGCCTCTAGAAATTTAGCGCTGTGTGCACTTGGGCTGCCTCCTCAAATCTGGGTTGGGATCCAAAGTGCCCGCAGGTGAACCTTGTCACAGCAAGACATATCTTCTGCTTGCAGAGGGCCTGCCGTGCCCGAGCTGAACTCACTGCCTCGTGGGCTTACGGGTGAAATGCACGTCTGTCCGCGGAGCACGGGGTCCTGAGGGAGGGTGACTGAGCTGGGGTGACGCTCATCACGGGCTGGAAGGGCCTCGGGGGTGGATGTGGGGTGGGGGCGAAAGTTATTTCAGGGAGGGGGCCTGGGGGTAGTGAAGGGGCTGGGATGCTCTGCTTGGGAATGGTGAGCATGTAAATAATTGGGAAAACTGGAAAATTTTAAGCCACAAAAGCAAAAATAATCACTGAAAATGTTTTGGGGGCGGTCCTTCAGGATTTAATTTATGCACATATCGTAACTCTGTATTGTCACAAAACGGAAGGACATTCTCCGTAGTTTGTCACACTTGAGAGGTGGTGAGCGTCTCTCTGTCAGTAAAGGCTTTCGTGGTCTGTGGTCCCCGTTTCTATAGGGTTGTGTGATGTGACTGCTCTCCTGCCGTGGCTGCATTTTTTATGATAAACAGCGTTTTGATGACGTGCCCATACTCGTATGCTCGTCGGGAGTATTTGTCTGTTTCTTTAAGATAAACTCCTTGGCGTGGATCAAAGGGTAAATGATGTTTGAAAAAAAATTTTTTTTTCCGTTCTTGGCAAACGGTGATTCTTCATTAGAATAACTGAGCACATTTTGAGAACGGTCCATGCGAGGTGTGCAGATGACGTACAGATACGCGGAGTGAGGGGAGAAGAGACCTCCTTGCGTCCCCCTCCCCACAGTGACCACCAGCCGTGGCCTGGACCGGCCCCTCCAGGCTGTTCTCCGCGTGCGTATCGTGTGGAAACAGGCAGGACACACACACCTTCCGTGGCGCGGGCCCGGGGGCCTCCCGTGTGACCACTGTGCGGTGGCTGTGGATGTGCAGCTCCATCAAGGGACGGGTCGGTTTGTCCACCGCTCCCCTTGCCGGTCACTGTGGACGTTTCTAGTTTCCCATGGTGCGGGGTCTCAGTGACGAGGGAGGAATGGTGCTTCTGCTGGATAGGGTGGCTGGTGTGCCAGTGTGGGTTTTGAGGCTTTTGGTACGTTGGGTTGGCTGGTCCCAGGAGGGCCGCAGGGACGTCCAGAGGACCTGCAATTGGGGGTGGTCCCTCCTCGCCCGCAACGTGCTTCCCAGGCGGGGTGGCTGTGATCCAGGCTGAGGTGGAGATGCCCTGTCTGCAGAAGCCCGTGGCACGGGGCAGGGGCGGGGCTGGCCGGTCCTCCGTCTTGGGCCCACCCATCTGTGCCCGCTCCCTGGGGGAGTCAGCCTCACTACGCCCTCTGCTCTCTGGCACTTGCCGGCTCCTGGTGGATCCACGGAAGGTGGACACGTGTGAGGCACCTCGCGGTCGCCCTCCCCCATCTCCCTCTGCTGAGTTGGCTTCCCCTGCCCCGGACACACCGGGTACCATCGTGTTATTTCACGTTTGAGGAGAGAGGGTGTCGTTTCTCTGATTACTAGTGACACTTTGCTCGGTTCATGGCCTTGGACGCTGCTGAGTGGTTCACTGGCCTGGACTCTTCTGCCCAGAACAGAAGGGTTTGGGCTCAGAATCACAGTGCTTTTCAGCAGGTCACACCCTTTCATGGCCCCTTCCAGCTCCCAGGTAGCAGCGGGTTCAGAAAGTCTTAGCTTAGGGCCAACCTGGCCGAGGCAGCTGAGCTGGACTCCCTCTCAGAGAGAGCTGAGCTCTCTCCCTCCGCGTATCCCGTTCTGGCTGTGTGTGTCCAGGAAACGTATGCTGGGGTCCTGTGCCCTCGGCCCTAAGTTTCGAGAGCCGCACGGCTCCCTCTGCCTCAGACTTTACTGCATCCGAGAGCCAGGTGGACAAGAAGTGGAGGAAGCAGATGGTTGGATTAATATTCCTCTTTTCAAGGCTGGATTGGAAAGAAAGCTTTCACACGGGAAGTGTCTGCTTCAGATCTTTTGTTTTGCACAGAGGAAAACTCACTTTCCAGATCGAAGCCCGCACAGGCTCCCGTTTCTGGCTACGGCTTCTAAAGAGACGGGCTGACGGTTCAGGAAGCGGGTTCCAGAGGCCGTGGGCAGGGAGACGCTGTCCCCTGACCTTCCATGTGACATCTCCCGGTGCAGCATCCAGGGCCTTTGCTTTTCTCAGTGTGCTGGACGCTGGGCTTCGCAGCTTTGTCTCTGCTCGACTGCGGTCTGGCGCGTGCCGCCCAGTTCTTTCCAAGTTTGCAGGGCGCCTGGCGAGCCTCGCTGTGGATGCTGCCTGCTACTCCCTCTGCTTCCTGGCATGAGTAGAGTACTAGAATATCCATGTGGGTGAATCCATGCGGGAGAAACCATGTGCTGCTTTATGATCCCTCCTGCTAAATTCAGGATTGGGACAAAAAAATCCCACGGTCTCGGGCTGGGTGCTTTCGCTCTTGTCAGTGTTTGCACTTGCGTGGAGCCACATCAACGGGGAGACAAGGTGAAGACTGTGTTCCAGCCCTTTGCTTTAAGAGAAGGTAATGCAACGTGGCTGAGGGACAGAGCCCCTACCCCAAACTGCCGGGCTTCCTTATGGATGGGGCGGCATTTCTAGCCGGCATTTCTCGAAGGCTTTCTCTGGGTCTGTGTGGATATTTTGGAGCCTCAGTTTCCACCCCCTAAATAAAAAGAGTGTCTCTTGGCCAAACCACAGCACCTGGCAGAGCCTCAGTTTTCTCAAGTGTCAAATGAGGGTAATAAAACCTACTTTGAGGCTTGCAGTGAGGATGGAGTGAGATACTGTCCATGGGTGTATCATTACCATCATTATAATCACCTCCGTCATCACCACCATCACCATCACCACCATCATCACCACCATCATCACCACCACCATCATCACCATCACCACCATCATCATCACTACCATCATCATCACCACCATCACCATCATCACCATCACCACCATCATCACCACCATCATCATCATCACCATCACCACCACCATCATCACCATCACCACCATCATCACCATCACCATCATCACCATCACCATCACCACCATCATCACCACCACCATGATCACCATCATCACCACCATCATCACCACCACCATCATCACCACCATCACCATCATCACCATCACCATCACCATCATCATCATCACCATCACCATCATCACCACTATCACCATCATCACCATCACCACCATCATCACCATCACCATCATCACCATCACCATCACCACCATCATCACCACCACCATGATCACCATCATCACCACCATCATCACCACCACCATCATCACCACCATCAACACCATCACCATCACCACCATCATCATCACCATCACCACCATCATCATCACCATCACCATCACCATCACCATCATCACCACCATCATCACCATCATCACCATCATCACCATCGTCACCGTCATCACCATTGTCATCACCATCATCATCACCACCATCACCATCATCATTACCGTCATCACCATCATCATCACCCTCACCATCATCATCTTTCTGGCCCTTTGACTTGTGGGTAGGGATAAGTTAGTGGGCATCTCTCTGGATGCAACTTTGCCCCTCTGAGGTTGGCTTGGCCATCCAGATGGAGCCCGTAGCCAGACCCCTCCGCCCTTCAGTGCGTAGTCTGAGGAAGGGGCTGGTTTGGCCCTGAGACCACTCCACAGTCATTCTCTGCTCCATCCTGGGCCTGAGGTAGGTAAATGGGCTACTCTGGGCCTCAGGACACAGCAGGAAGGACTCTGGGAGGCTGGCTTGTCGCCTGTCTCAGTGAACAGTGAGGGGAGGGCCCTTGCCCCTTGCTCCAGGCCAAGCAGCTCATGTCTGACTTGGGGCTGGAGCGGGGTGTCCTCGTGCCCTGGGCGGGCCCCTCCAGAGCCCTGCTGAAGAGTTGAGCAGTCCTGGGGAGGGTCCAGGTTGGGGGGCTGGCAGGTGCAGCCTCCTCAATTGGCTCCTGCTCTTGTGAGCAATGGCAGAGACTTTGTCCTTCCTGGGGACGCAGGGGCCCAAGCAGGCTCAGAAGGAAGCCACAGGATGCTCCAGAGCCCTGGCAGGTGCTGTGGATCCCAGCCTGTCCCCTGAGGGTGCACCCAGGCCCGGGGGGAGGGAGGTGGGGGCCCTTGGGTTCCATCAGGTCCCATCCCGGCTTGCCCGCCCACTCAGGGTGCCTGGAGACGGAGCGCCCCTGGAAGCCAGAAGCGTGATGATTAGGAGGCCCTGCGTGTGTGCGTCAGGGGCAGGGTCCAGGCAGTGGCACTGCGTTTCGGGCCCACGGCTGGGGCCTCATTACCGGAGCCACCAGACGGGCGGGCGGGCGGGCGGCAGCGA